GAGAACGGCTTTGTGCTGAGCTCCTGGGGGTCTCTGTGCCTCCAGGTCCCAGCGCGGGCTGTGGGATAAATGGAGCCGGTCCTTATGCAGGAGGTTACTTGGCAGCTGGGCAAGGTGCAGGGGTGCCTGCCTGGTTACCAGAATAGCTGCACCAGCACAGAGCCTTCCTGGCTTGCGAGATCTCCCTGCTCCCAGCAAAGGGGGTGGGGGGTAGGACTGGGTGTCTGTGTAATATGGTTCTATGGCACCGTGAAAATAGTATTTAAGATATGTGTGTGTGCTGTCTGGGAAGAAAGACCACTCTTAATCCTACAAGCAGTGGTTCTGATCATGTTTGTGCCTGGAAGTGTCGTAAAACGCGGCGCACAGGCGTTTGCTGCTCTTGTCAGTGCTAGAGCTTGCTCTAATGCATAGACATTTAAAGAGGCAGCTGTTACCGTACTGGTATTTTCAGTCGTGACAGAACCCATTCTTGTGTCTAAAATGGAGAAGTGTCTTGTTCTCGAGTACTGATCCCAGATTTTAACTCTTGTGGACTAATCTTGCTGTTTACTGTTTGCTGTCTTTTCAGGCTTGTTTTCATCTGTTTCTCAAAATCTAATAAGCAAGATGTCTACCAATGAAAATGCCAATGCGGGTCGATTGAACAGATTCAAGAACAAAGGAAAGGATACTACAGTGAGTATTTTCCATGCAAATACTATTTTAAGTATCCATCATGTCTTTAAAAATTAGCTGTAAAAGCCAAGAACTTACTCTGAGTGTGTGTGTACCCTCCAGGAAATGAGAAGGCGGCGTATTGAAGTGAATGTAGAGCTGAGAAAAGCTAAGAAAGATGACCAGATGCTTAAAAGAAGAAATGTTAGCACTTTACCAGATGATGCTACTTCTCCCCTTCAGGAAAACAGGAGCAATCAGGTGAGAGTGCTCAGAACAGGCAAGCTTTCCAACTCCTATGGTTCTATGAAGCTTGGTGGTCTTGCAACATGAGCTCATGCAACTGCAGTAGTAGGAATCCCTTCTTGTGCAGGATCAGCATTACTACATACACATGACCAGCTTATGTCTGTACTACCAGATCTAATGGACAATACCCTTAAAACATATCCTAGGCAGTTGTGCTTAAGCCTAGTGTGAAGTGCTTGATGAAGGAAGCTTTCAGTAGTCAGATAAGTGCAGAGAAAACTGCAGCTGATGAGGTTTTGGAGTATAAAGGAAGATTATTTTAATAAAATAAACTGAGGTCTGCTTATAGTGTTGTCTAAAAGACCTTTGTGGTCATGAAGACGTGCAAGAAAACTGCAGCTGATGAGGTTTTGGAGTATCATCTAGTGGTATATTTTAATAAAGGAAGATGATTTTAATAAAATAAATTGAGGTCTGCTTATAGTGTTGTCTAGAAGACCTTTGTGGTCATGAAGACATGTGCCTCTCCCAACAAAGTGTTCATATGGCTTTTCATTGTACAGGTTTCAGCACACTGGTCAGTCGAAGAAATAGTCAAAGGAGTTAATAGTAATAATATGGAGCTGCAGCTACAGGCTACTCAAGCTGCCAGGTAAGGAGCTCAGAGGTAACCAGTCCAGCTGTGCAAGCCAGTAACTAGAAAGATAAAAGAACTGGCTGCTCATGGGAGCTATTATGGTTCTTCTCATCAGACACTGTTTCAACAGACACCCAAGTCAGCCTTATATGCAATGTTTAGTTTTACTGAACTTAGTCATCATTTTATTGCAACTCTGGGGCTTCTGAATGCTTAAAGTGCCTGAACTCTTTACTAGGAAGTACTATTTTTTTCCAGTGGTTTTGAGGTGACAGAATAATACCACTAGTCCATCTTAGAGTTGTAGCAGTGATAATAATCTCATTATTACAATAAAATAAGATCATTAAACTGTGTTAACACTTACTACATTATTTGAGTGCAGTGATCTACCTTGAAATAACATGAGCTGTAAGATAACTGGGGTTTGAAGAATGAAAAATTCATTTTTTCCTTCCAAATCTAAAATTGCCTTTAGCAAGTTTGTATATTGCTGCAGTGCTGCCTCTGGCAGTCATTAGCCTTCTGCCTGCTGAGAGGCCTCTAGCAATTCAGATGTGCTATGACTCCTGCAGGTCTGCTTTATTTCGGAGTCTGAACAGAACCTCTCATGTGGTGAAGACAAGCCAAAAACAATGTTAACAGAGGTTTAGGAAGCTAGTGTTCACCTTGTCTGTATCTCTCCACGTTGCATTAGGTTGACTTCTCTGAATGCTAAGGCAGTGCTAAAACTTTTATTTTTTTTAACATAAGTCTTTTTAGACAGTTTAATCTGTTGTTTAGATCTCTGCATGCAAAAATAATGCTTTGTTTGCTTTCCTCTTTAGGAAACTCCTCTCAAGAGAGAAGCAGCCTCCCATAGACAACATAATTCGGGCTGGTTTGATTCCAAAATTTGTCTCCTTCTTGGGCAGAGCAGACTGCAGTCCCATTCAGTTTGAATCTGCCTGGGCACTTACCAACATTGCTTCTGGCACCTCAGAACAAACCAAGGCAGTGGTAGATGGAGGGGCTATTCCAGCCTTTATTTCACTCCTGGCCTCTCCCCATACTCACATCAGTGAACAGGCTGTGTGGGCGTTAGGAAATATTGCAGGTATGTCAATATGCTCCATAACTCTTTCAAACCTACTCCTTTATTTAAAATAGGAGGACATTTCTACTGACATGTTCTGCAGTATGCTGAGCTTTGTGGGAACTCAGCTCTAATGCTTTGCAAGTGAAGAGTGTTGTGGACTGATGCTTACCTTCAGGTGTCTCATGCAATACCTGGCAACCTGTGGATTGTGTTACATGGTTTGCTTAAGTATTTCATTTCAGTTTTCATGGAGCTATATGACCATGTTAGAATACTTGGCTTTCCACATGTTTCACTGGAGGTTTTTGTGATTTATCTGTACTCTGACTAGAAGGAGGAAGGGAGGAAACAGCTGGCTTACATAATTGTGGATGTGATAGCCAATATTCCTTGTGTTGAGACAGCCACTTACTGATGTGACAGTACTATATATGGAAGCTGCTCACACACCTTTCAAGGTGACTTGATCTGCCAATGTTGAATCCCATTCTTACAGAACAAAACACAACTGGTCAAAAGACTACAGCTAATGACTGTCTTCTTGTTTCTAGCAGCTGTGCCTTACAAAAACTTTTAACTAACCCTCCAGCAGCAGAATTCATCCTCTAACACTGATTCTGTATGCATGTGTCCCTCTGTTCTGGTCTTCACCTGGCTGGTTTTCTTGTTTTGTCAGGGGATGGTTCTGCCTATAGAGATCTGGTTATTAAATTTGGTGCAATTGAGCCACTGCTGAGTCTATTGGCTGTTCCTGACCTCTCTTCTCTGGCTGTAAGTGTGCAGTATGATTCAAGTTAGTTTACTAATAAGTGAGCTAAAGAGGTCAAGTAACTAAACAGTTGCTAACCATTTATTTAAATTCTTGCAGTCTGGATATTTACGCAATGTGACCTGGACCCTCTCAAACCTGTGTCGTAACAAGAATCCTGCACCACCCATAGAAGCTATTGAGCAGATTCTTCCAACCCTTGTTCGGCTCTTGCACCATGATGACCATGAGGTGTTGGCAGACACGTGCTGGGCACTTTCCTATCTAACAGATGGTTCTAATGACAGGATAGAAGTTGTAGTGAAAACTGGATTGGTGCCACAACTTGTGAAACTCCTGGGATGTAGTGAACTGCCCATAATGGTAAGCTGTTAGACATGCAGGTGGTGTGATGGTGTGAGATCTTAGCATGCCTAATATCTGCTTATGTAATGCTAGTGAGGAGCTTCAAACTCATCAGTACATAGAGCATGCTGTTATCTGGGAAAGCTAGAGAAGAGAAGCATAAAGTATGGCTGTATTTGTTCAAGCACAGATTAGATGATACAGCTTTCCTGAGAATACTTTGGGTTTTTTTTTTCAGACTCCATCATTAAGAGCCATAGGAAATATTGTCACTGGTACTGATGAGCAGACACAGATTGTTATTGACTCGGGAGCACTATCTGTCTTTCCAAGCCTCCTTTCTCATCATAAAAGCAACATCCAGAAAGAGGCAGCATGGACAATGTCCAACATCACTGCTGGACGTCAGGATCAGATTCAGAGAGTTGTAGACCATGGGCTTGTGCCTTATCTCATTGGTATTCTGAGGAAGGTAAGCAACAGCTATTCACTATGTTGAGGCTTTTGCTATTACTGCTACCATCTGTGTTCAAATACTCTCCTTTTTACCTTCACAGGGGGATTTCAAATCTCAAAAGGAAGCTGTGTGGGCTGTGACTAACTACACAAGTGGAGGAACCATTGACCAGATTGTCTATCTCGTTCAGGCTGGGGTTGTTGAACCTCTGCTGAATCTTCTCTCAGCTAAAGACAGCAAAACTGTTCTAGTTATTCTGGATGCTGTTTCCAATATCTTCTTGGTAAGTGGATGCAGTGTACTCAATCATTGTCCAAGGTGATGCTAATGGTTATCCAGTAGTTAGTGCTATGTGGTTTTTTTTGAGGTTATTCCATGCTTGTCTCTTGCAGGCTGCTGAGAAGATTAATGAGACTGAAAAACTCTGCCTCATGATTGAGGAGTGTGGTGGTCTAGACAAAATTGAAGCTCTTCAATCACATGAAAATGAACAAGTGTACAAAGCCTCATCCACCTTGATTGAGAAATACTTCTCAGCAGAAGTAAGTGGCTGCAGGATCTTTTTTCCACCCTTATTTTGCATTCTAGCATTGACTGCTAGGTCAAAACACTGCTCCTCTTTCAAAACTCTTTTTCTCTTCTAGGAGGAAGAAGACCAAAATGTTGTACCAGAATCCACTGCTGCCAGCTACACTTTCCAAATTCAGGGCAATGCTCCAGATACTTTTAACTTCTAGATTTTTGCATATACTGCAGCCACCTAAAAGTTGTTTGGCACACAAATGGCTGCCACCTCTTTGTCTTAACAGTTCCTCTTTGTTTTTTCTGTGTTTTTATATGTGACCTGTAGCACTTTGTCCAACTGAAACATACTTGAACTGTTCAAAACTGTACATGTTAAGTGAATTTTTAACTGTAAACATAATTCTTTCTGAGAGATACTTGTTGTAAATACTTGTTCTTTCCCTGGCTCTTGCTGTACCTGTCAGGGATAAGAAGGCAAGTGGGCAATATAGGCTTCTCAAACATGAGCCCCTAATCTGCAAACCTCTTCCTAATGTTCTACATTACCTATTGCTGAAATCAATACACTAGTAGGCTTTTAAAGAGGTTTTATTCTTAAATGTCAATAAAGTTCTATCAATACATCACATTGAACTGTGTCAATTGCTCTCTTAAAAGCTGACTTTTTAGTAAGTATACCTTAAAAACAGTATGAATGCAAGAATGCAGGTCTAAACCATGGAAGATTCAATTCTGAAGATGGTAGTTTTAAACCAGCTTGCTGTGCGTAGTGGGCTTCTGTGGTGGTGAGAAGGCAGGAGTGGGGCAGGGAAGGTGCCTGTCAGAAGGCAAGGGGCTCTGCCCTCAGTGCAGCTTCCTCTGTAGTCCGTTTTGTACCTGTCAGGGATAAGAATGCAAGTTGGCAATACAGGCTTCTCACAAAACATGAGTATAGGAAATGCTTTGAAGCAATTGCGTGCTCTAGAGAACAAAAATGAAGACATCTTGGATTCTCTTCCTTTGATTCTTAAGTTTTTATAGCTACCTGCTCTGTCTATAAAGGTGGTTATGCAGGGCAGGGTTTTGGGGAGTGAGGTAGTGGGGGGGAAGAGCTGTAGTCTTGTTTCCAGCTTTATCTGGAAGTGTAGGCAATTCTGAGTTACCATAGATTTAGGTACTGCTGGATGGTGGTCATGGTAACACTTGTCTGTGTATACAGCCCTATCTCCTTATGATTGGCAGCAGTGGTGTTACCTGCAGAGCAGTCACATCAGCTTCTACTGGGCTCTTTAAGCCATGAGCTCCCCCCAGCTCACAACGTGGCTGGGGAGACTCATTGCCCTCACTGGTGTGTCAATGGGGCATTCAGATCTTATCAATCTCAAAAGATATTGCCTTGCAAAACTCACAGTATCCTGAACTCATCAGTGATGGCTTCATCCTTCTGACTGTACTGCTTCAACTGTTTTTTCTTTACCCCAAAACAAAACTGCAGCAAGTAATGTGTTACTATTGGAGTCTTTAAGGACTCAGGTGGAGTGTAACCCTGTTGCATCTTCTGATTGAGAAGCTGATGTGTTACTAACCTGTCTCTGCCTGTACTGCCCTGTGCAGGGTGAGACTGAGCTGTGGCTGCAGTGTGTTCCTTGTGCTGTTGGGAGAGGCTGCAGGTGGCACCCAGCTCCTGCAGAAGAAGCTGTAGGCAGTCCCAGGCTGAGAAGAACCCAAGTCTGCCACCACAGATACTGCAACAGCCTTAGGACCAGATTCTGGTATTATCTTAGTAGAAGTGGGAAGAACCATATGCCTGGCAATGCTAAAGCCTTTAATGTTCTGGAGGGAAAAAAAACCCAGACAGGGCTTTTATGCAGCTGCAGAGAAGCTTCTTGTGCCCTTTGCTTTGTCACCAAACTTGCAACATCAGTTACAAAATCATTATTTTCTGTGCAACTGTCTGTAGAGACCCGAAAATACTAACCTACCCAAAAACAATTATGCAAATTTACCCTCCATATGTGGAATCATTGGTTCCACCTACTTCAAGTTTGTGGGTTTATAAGGACAATTAAGAATTCTGCAGTGATTGTAGTTTTCTAACTGTCAGATATTGCATCTTCCGGTAGAGGGCGCTGCAGGCAACCGCACCGCCTCCTGTGCTGCTGCTGAGGTTCACCCAGCCTGGACCACTCGAGCACGAGGTACTTTACTTTCGTATTAAGAAAATGGATAAAATCCATCGGGCCATCCCTTGTGGTTGCATAAAACATTTATACGCCAACTTCCGAGTATTTAAGCAGACTAAATACTGAAGATAGGGGATAATCTTTCAAAAGTGGTATCTTGGGGTGCTGTTACTTTAAACCACAGTTCTTTGCTTTCATAGCTTTTTGGCACGTATGCAGTTAATTTGACTTTTCTGTCTCAGAATTTAGTAAAGGGGATGGGAGTGCAAAATGCTTGTTGAATAGTGTTATCTCTATTTTTTTTGTTCCTGAATAATTTGATTCAGAATTATCTAATATATTGAGTTAATAATAGAACACTGCATATCCTTCTCTAGATGCCTGACAGCTCAGTGGCTTATTAATCAACTTTCTGGGGACCAAGACTTTGTTTTTATCCAAGAAAAATGTGTTCAGCCTGTCCACCAATGAGCCCTGTACTTGGCAGCGTGTATTTCCACAAGCAAGAATCTACAATGATCATGAGTAAGTGACTGGGGTGAGTCACTCCTCATTCTAAGAAAATGCAAACTATTTCTGAGGTTGGAATCACAGTCACCCACCAGGCTGTGTCTCTAGCTCAAAAAGTGGTAGAAGCAAAAAGGGAGAGAAGAATCATTCTTGCTGCTGGTTCTTGATTTGTTGACTGGGTTTTGGTTGGTTTTTTTTTTTTGTGTTTCACAGCCAGATATCAGAGCTGGCTTCTATTTGGTAAATGCCTAATCCAGGGTAAGGGCTAGAATAAATGTCTGGTGGCCTATGTGTCAGTCTGCCAACTCCTCTGTGCTGAGAGCAACAATAATTGACTCCTGCTGACATCAACTGGCTTGGAATGCAGTTGTTGCTAATGCTATTTTATCTGTGGAGTGATGGCAAGATTTCAGTCTAGGATCCCCGCAAATGTAACCACCTCTGAAATCCTGATGCTGGCAGATGCTGCTGTGTGATTGCTTCCACTTGCTGCTTCCAAGGTGCTGGGCTCTGAAAGGAGAGCAGAAGCTTTGCAGCCCTCTTGTTCAATAGCGTGTCTGTTCACTTTCCACCACAGGAAGAACAGTTTCAGTTGTGGAAAAGCTCGACATTTTTAAATTATGATAAATGTATTCTTCATTTCCCTATGATTTAGACTGAAATAGTTTCTTAAAGCTGCTTCCTGCTACTCTATATGGAATGATTTAAAATGCACAGAACTGCAGTGGTACATCAGCAAAAAAGAACAGCTGTAAGTTTACAGGAAAAGGAATTCACTAGCCAACAATATTTTACAGATCTCTCCTGTTTCTATATCTATTTTGCAGCAGAGCAAACTGAGATACAAGAAAGTTATCCACAGACATTCAGAAAGTAGCTGACAGAATTAACCTGGAGCCTGGGAATCCTGATGTCCATTCCACTTGTTAACCCATGGCACTTCTGGTCACAATTATCTTTTTGCTGAATTATTCCAGAAGTGTTGAATCTCTTTTGTCATAAGATACAACATAACCTTTCAGCACAGGTCCAAACTTTGAGAGTGTGTACAACCTGGGGAAAAAGTACTGTTCAAAACAGAAGTAGTTAGTGAAGGTTAATTGTGACTGGTGATATTTGGCCTATAGAGGAAAATCTTGTGACTCTCCCTTAAAACCTAACAGGAAACACATTAACCCTCTGCTCTGAGTTAAAAACTTCAGCTTGACCCATCTCCAGGGGAAGGTGTTAGGAGAAAAGTCTAAGAGGGAATTAGGTGACCCCTCCTCAGGTTGGGAGGGATGTGCACAACCCAGTTGCAAAATCCAGAAAAAACAGTTTTCAGAAGAACATTCAAGCTACAAGTGTGCAAATTTGTTCATGGTGTTTGGGGGAAAAAACTTCCTCCTCATTGATCCATGGCACTGATAGGAACTGGGCAAAAACTCAGCATGTAGACAGCGCAGAAAGAACCGATTTGCCTTGAGTTCTGTAGCTCTTCATATGGAATAAGGGTCACTGGATTCCAGTCCTGTTTCTGA